GTAATACACGCTGTGATCTATCAGATCAAATTTAGTTTGTTTTTTGCCATATAGATATATATATATTATTTTTCATAGTTAAAATAACAAGTATTTGTAATTAATTTTTTTCTTGTCAATAAAAAAAAAAAAAAGTTATCTCAAGACGACGGAGAAGTACTTCATGATCTACAGTGTCAAATGCTCAACTCAAGTCTAACAGCACTAGTAGAGTGACCCTCTGGTTATCCATGTTAAGCAAGATGGCATTGTGTACCTTAAGGAGGGCCGTCTCTGTGCTATGGCGTGCTCGATAGGCTCAGTGGAGCGTTGGGTACAGCTCTGATCGCACTAAATGTTCTTGGGTTTGGTAGTACACTGCTCTCTCCGTGAGCTTCGAAATAAATTGGAGATTTCTCACGGGTCTAATATTTGAAAGAGAGGCGCTTTGACAAGGTTTCTTGAGCCGTGGAACAACTAGAGCAGCTTTCCACGCAACTGGAAAGTATCCAAGAGTCAAGGAACAATTAACCATAGAAGTGACTATTGGACTCTCTGCACTTGTGGACCTGTGGACTCTGTGGACGCTGTAAACCTGTGGACTCTGTGGACTCTATGGACTCTATGGACCTGTGGACTCTGTGGACCTGTGGACCTGTGCACCTGTGGACTCTGTGGACCTGTGGACTCTGTGGACTCTGTGGACCTGTGGACTCTGTGGACCTGTGGACTCTGTGGACTCTGTGGACTCTGTGGACTTTGTGAACTCTGTGGACTCTGTGGACCTGTGGACTCTGTGGACTCTGTGGACCTGTGGACTCTGTGGACCTGTGGACTCTGTGGACTCTGTGGACCTGTGGACTCTGTGGACCTGTGGACTCTGTGGACTCTGTGGACCTGTGGACTCTGTGGACCTGTGGACTCTGTGGACTCTGTGGACCTGTGGACTCTGTGGACTCTGTGGACCTGTGGACTCTGTGGACCTGTGGACTCTGTGGACTCTGTGGACCTGTGGACTCTGTGGACTCTGTGGACCTGTGGACTCTGTGGACCTGTGGACTCTGTGGACTCTGTGGACCTGTGGACTCTGTGGACTCTGTGGACCTGTGGACTCTGTGGACCTGTGGACTCTGTGGACTCTGTGGACCTGTGGACTCTGTGGACCTGTGGACTCTGTGGACTCTGTGGACCTGTGGACTCTGTGGACCTGTGGACTCTGTGGACTCTGTGGACCTGTGGACTCTGTGGACCTGTGGACTCTGTGGACTCTGTGGACCTGTGGACTCTGTGGACCTGTGGACTCTGTGGACTCTGTGGACCTGTGGACTCTGTGGACCTGTGGACTCTGTGGACTCTGTGGACCTGTGGACTCTGTGGACCTGTGGACTCTGTGGACTCTGTGGACCTGTGGACTCTGTGGACCTGTGGACTCTGTGGACTCTGTGGACCTGTGGACTCTGTGGACCTGTGGACTCTGTGGACTCTGTGGACCTGTGGACTCTGTGGACCTGTGGACTCTGTGGACTCTGTGGACCTGTGGACTCTGTGGACCTGTGGACTCTGTGGACTCTGTGGACCTGTGGACTCTGTGGACCTGTGGACTTGAGGCAACGGACTGACCCACGGACTCAATTGTTGCTTGGTTTCTTATTTTGTTTGGTTAATTGCCTTTTGAACCTATTTCTGTAATTTCTCCATTTGGAAATAATTTGGGGCAAATTATGCATTGAGACCGAAGTAATTTATTTGAGCGTGATGACGTATACTGTGCTCCGGTACCTACAGAAACAACCAGTTCTTGTTTTACAAAAAGATGCTTTCCAAAATACGGATTTTTCTCGCTTAAAATGTCAGCTTAAGCGAAGAAAAGTTGACACACCGTCTTTGTAACGATTTTCCAAGTTATCTGCCGACGAAGGAATGGGTAAATAAAGTAAACTTGTCGAGTTTTGAACTCGAAAACTTTTTCAAATTCGTGCTTGCGTGATTAGCGCGCGAAAAGCAAAACATTTTGACGCCACAACCATGTTTACGTACATAATCTCATGCAAACACTCCTCTCGGCCAATCAGATCGCGCGTACTATTTTAGTTATTTTATAAAAGCAAGTAAATATCTGCGACAAAATCTCACGACATTACTGTCTCGTCTCGATGAAATTTCTGACACCCTTTTTTAAAATCTTTTTAATTTGACAATGTCGTTATAACGACAAGTCTTTCGATTTCATAGCTGAAAATTGATTAAAAGTATAGATTGCCTGAATTGCCGATCTAATTTAATATCAGCTATGCACGTAATTGCACTGCGCGACCGGTCGCATGCCCTAGTTCTTACCAATGTTGTCATAAGCTCGAAATAACTGTGACTCTGTGTAATGATGAAATATATGAAAAATAGTGCTTTTTTTAGTGTTTGGTGACATGATGAAACGGTAAGTTAACTTAATAAACCCATAAATATAATTGTGGTCATTTAATATAATCCGGATACACAAACTCCCTAACTTAAAAAACGAGACGCACCCCCCCTCCCCCCCAGAAACGCTTTGCACGTGACGTTTGAGTCCTACTTCACATAAAAAGAGTGCTTTAAAAAGTTTAGTAAAAGGTTTGGTTTTACATAAGCAAGTAAATATCTGCGACAAAATCTCACAACGTTTTGGTGTCCTCTTGACACAATTTCCGACATTTTTTTGTTTTTTTTTTCATTTTAAATTTGACAATGTCGTTGAGACAACAAGTCTTTCGATTTCATAGCTTAAAATTGATTATAAATATAGACTGCGTGAATTGTAGATCTAATTTAAGAGCCAGTCTCTGTAAGATCCTCATATCGAGTTTTGCCCACAAAATGGATTTCGCTCATAATTTTTCTTTAGTATATACACACTCAGTGATCTTGGTAATTCAAGCAATCTGATTGGTTAGGTATATCGGACTATGACGTTATATCCACCGCGCTAGGCGGTGAATATAAAGCCGAACAAAATCGCTGTCGTGAACTGGGTGTTTTGCTGTTTATGAAATGAAACGACCTCTAAAATTCTTTAATTCTGTCGGCTTGTTATGTTCATTGACGTCAACCGTTTATCATTAATTCAGCTATCAAAAATCAAGCTTGTAGTACCTCCGACTTTAGTTTACAAATGACTCTTTTTACCCCTTTTTGTCACATTATTTTTGACCGACAAAAGCACCACACGTGACGTTTAAGTCCTACTTCACATAAAAAGAGTGCTTTAAAAGTTTAGTAAAAGGTTTGGTTTTACATAAGCAAGTAAATATCTGCGACAAAATCTCACAACGTTTTGGTGTCCTCTTGACACAATTTCCGACATTTTTTTGTTTTTTTTTTCATTTTAAATTTGACAATGTCGTTAAGACAACAAGTCTTTCGATTTCATAGCTTAAAATTGATTATAAATATAGACTGCGTGAATTGTAGATCTAATTTAAGAGCCAGTCTCTGTAAGATCCTCATATCGAGTTTTGCCCACAAAATGGATTTCGCTCATAATTTTTCTTTAGTATATACACACTCAGTGATCTTGGTAATTCAAGCAATCTGATTGGTTAGGTATATCGGACTATGACGTTATATCCACCGCGCTAGGCGGTGAATATAAAGCCGAACAAAATCGCTGTCGTGAACTGGGTGTTTTGCTGTTTATGAAATGACACGACCTCTAAAATTCTTTAATTCTGTCGGCTTGTTATGTTCATTGACGTCAACCGTTTATCATTAATTCAGCTATCAAAAATCAAGCTTGTAGTACCCCTTTTTGTCACATTATTTTTGACCGACAAAAGCACCACACATTGAAGTAATTGTGCCCTACTTCGTCTACTTTGAACGACAGGTCGTGGAGAAAACAACGCGTTCACGTTTTACATCATCAAGCTTGCTATATAAATAAATCATCCAAGATTCGGTTCTCCAATTAATGTCGTCGCTTCTCTGGAAACCGATTCTTTTAGTTATGTTTATTTCATTCTATTTTTTCTCCTCAACGTTTTCGGGTATGCACGTGCAAACCGTGCGTACAAGTAGCTACGCCCCTGTTTAGTCTCCTTAGCGCTGAGCGTTCCTCTCTTGCGGTTTTCGCAGGAGTTCAGGATGTGGTCCACCCAGTATTTCACGTCTCTATTAAATGACAGGCAGCACGTCTTGTTTACCGTTTCGTTATCAGACAGCGCTTAGACTCTTAGCCTTTCATTTAATTTTGATCAAATTTTTGTCACTTAGTTACTCAGTATACGTTCGATCCTGTCCTTGTAAACTTATACTTTTTTACTTTGAGGGAGCTTAATACCTATAGATATTAATTTTTTCTTCGTTTAGTGCCGTCCAACAGACCCAGTTTTTTGGCATTTTTTAAAAAAGCAAGAAAAAGAAACGACAAGCTTTATTTTTTTGAACTTAAATTAATTCTTTTAATCTGAAAAATGAGCATTATAACAGCATTTCCAGGAATAAAACGGTCGGTGGTGTATCCTCTTTGCTTTTTACCCTTTTTGGTCCTTTTTTTTTTGAAATTGACCGTCAAATTTTCCGCCATATTGAGTTTGTGTCGATTTGGTGACCATGTCTTGTTGTTTTCAGGCTCCACGGCAATGATGCTGGTGTTTCAGGCCTCAGATTTCTTGTGATTTTTTTTCACCCCACCGACCGACCCACCCAAAACCAGGAAACCTATTCGACGCTAAACGAATGAAAAGAGGATGACCTAAGCCTTATGGTTTCTTTTTGGGCTTCCTCACCACATTGCTTCTGCGTATTTCTGTATACTTGTCTTTTGCTTTGTTTTGTTCTTTTTTGTCGGTAAAATAAACTGAAACTGTATAAAGACCCTCAATATTCCCTTTGGAGGTTCTCGAACGCGCATAAAAAAAAGTGCAAAAAGCGATGATTTATTGACCGCAAGGGCAATGGGGTGGGGTTAGGGCTCGTTACTGCGCTCCGGTTCACTCGTGCGCTATCAAATGGTCCCGATATACAAAATGAAAAATGACTGCGGACAGACTATTCACGTCTAGACATCAAGCTAGACATCAAGCATCTTTTACGATGGGACTTACCGCCTCTCCCTGTTCATGGAGTTGATTCAAGGTGTTGACGTCAACTTCGTGATGCCCTGCATTTTTTTGCCGGGACATGTGTTAGAAATTATTGCGTCATTATGGCGGGAAAACTCGTCACGTGATCTGAAAACTGAGCTTTGCACAAGAGTTTTAGAACTGTGTAGTCGTTCGGAGTCGTGGAGCTGATCGAGTGTGTGGATTGAGTGTAGATCATCGAATTTTTACGCGGATTGATGTCGATGAATCCTTTAAGTGTAGACCAGAGTACAGAATTCTAAAATATGAACATGTGAAGAAATATGCTTTATTGGAGTGAAGAATAAAAGCTACAGAGAACTGATTATATATACAACGATTGGTTACATGGTCCTTCGCAGTCGCCGGATCGGCGAAACAAGTTTAATCAATTAATCGTCAAGAACAGGATTACAGTACAAGAAGAAAAGAATGGACAACGAAAAAGCAAAGACAATTAGAAATGCCCACAGAGCTTTTGTGGCGAAAACGATGGAAGGTGCGACGAGGATTTTAGTCGAGCAAACTGCCGATCACGTGGAAGATTCATCAAGGGAAAAACTTATGGGACTGAAATTCACCCTCAATGAAAGGCTAGAAACTATCCAAAAGCTGGACGAAACAATTCTGGAAAACAGTAAGGGGAGAGACATTGAGAAAGAAGTCGAGGATTGTGGTGAGTTTTGTGCAAAAGTTTACCGTATTTTGGCTAGAATTGACTTGAGTTTAGAGGATGCTAAAAATAGCGCACACGTGGGAACTTCACCAAGCTTCAGTCAAATTAATAACAATGTCAAAAGCAATGAGGGCGCGAAAGTGAAGCTACCTAAACTAGAACTAAAGTCATTTTCAGGCAACTACGAGGAATGGCAGAGTTTCTGGGACACTTTCGAATCTGCGGTTAACAGAAACACTGACATTTCAAGAATCCAAAAATTCACCTATTTGAAGAGTTGTGTGACAGGCGCAGCCGAATCTGCAATTACTGGGTTGCCTCTCACTGAAGATAATTACGAAACTGCCATTGATATACTTAGAGATAGATTTGGTAAACCACAGCTGTTGATTTCTAACCACATGGACGCTTTGTTGAAATTGCCAATAGTCAGTTCAGTGCATGAAACGAAGAAACTCCGTGATTTGTATGACAAGATTGAGATAAACATTCGAAGTTTGAAGGCACTAGGCGTCGAATCAGAGTCCTTTGGAAATTTATTAGTTCCAGTTGTAATGGAGAAAATTCCCTCTGAGTTGAGATTAATCATCAGTCGCAAGTTTGGCAGTAAAGAAACTTGGGACCTTGATGTCCTGTTAAATGCACTGAAATCTGAGTTGGAGGCAAGAGAAAGGTGTAATGTAGTGAAAACAAGTAGTCCAACCAATTCTAACCCTAGATTTG